AATGGATGGGTGGATGAATGGATGGATGGATGGATGTGTAGATGTTTGAGGAGATGGAGGGAGGGAGATGGATGGGTGTTTAGGTGAGTGATGATTGGTGGCACAGCATGGTGAAAAGGTCCATATATCCGAGATGAGTCAGTTGGTATGTGGAACAACAGAGAGAAGGACGGTGGTGATGTGCCAATAGCCAGAGGCCTCTGTGGCTGAAGCAGACTTGGGAACTTTTTCTATACGACAAAGGAGCTACATCATGAAAGGTCACACTCAGAAGTCCTGTGGCCACAGTTGAGGCTGGAGGGCTCAGCAATGACGTGGGGAGTCATGACTGGGCAAAGTGGCCCCGTGACTCTGGAGGGTCAGAAGGCCAAGTTGAGGAAGACTGTCAAACTCACTTTGTCTCACACCAATCGGGAAGGCCCCATCAAATTCATGGATTCTCACTTCTGTTCTGGCCCCTAGCCTCGCACACAGCCCTTCTTCCTCTGACCCTACCCACTGACGTGAGGTCAGAGTTCACCAGATAAAGCCCACCGCTCTTCAGACAGCCACGGCTGCCCAGGAGCCCCCGATGCCAGTTGAAAGTTTGGATTCTTCACAACACTCTTCGTTCTGAATTGCCGGCTGCAAATTTGGGGCTTTCTCACGGGTGCTCCAGGAGGCCAGCCACAAATCCCCAGACCACCCTCTCTTCTGACTGACCTGCGAGGTCCCCCTTCTCCATCAGGCCCAGTAATTCACCGGAATGACTCAGCACTCGAGTGTCCTTCTGAACACCGACCGTGTGACTGTAGCCCAAAGGGTACACCCCTAGCCAGCCATGGCGGGGTGGGGAGGCGGGAGATGAGGGGCTCCCAAGATGGACCCTCCATGTCCCACAGGGTGTGCTACCTCCCATGTGCACCCATGCCTGTCACCCACCAGGGACCCCAGGGTGCCTTCACTGGAATCGCTGTGTTGGCATGACTGACGGAGGCATGCCCCACGCCCTTGCTGTACGTGGAGCTGTGTGTGCAGACTAGAACTGCCCCAGGCGGCTGTGACCCTGCCGAAGCACGCCGCCAGGCCTGTCTTCAGAAGACCCGCCTGGATGGTTCAGAACCACCAACCTATCACCGTTTAAACCGTTTGTGCTACCAGGGACTCCTGAGGTCTGCCAGGCCTAGCCACCCCCACACCCGAGGAGTGGCCTCATTGGCATAAATCCTCAGGTATGGTCAGTTGGTTTTTCCTAAAGACCCTCCCGTGCCTGGTGAGATGCAAGGTTTTGAATGTTACCTCTGAGGAATCCAGACACCGATGACCAATTCCGGATACATTTAAATCCTGGCCCTCAGTCCCAGCCAGGTGGGCCCGCCCCACCTGTGCCTATCTCCCTCCTGCCCCCAGGCAGAAGGAGCTGCTGTTCCACTACCTGCAGCTGGTGGCCGGGGTGGAGCACCATCAGCAGAAGTTTCGATCCCAGGCGTCTATCATGGATGAGATTGTGGACACCACCTTTGAGGTGACCCAGACTGGGCGGAGGGGAGGCGTCAGGGAGCGGGGAGGACCCTGGGAAGGAAGGTGGGGCATGCGGTGGGCAGAAAGGGAGCTGGCTCATTCCCCTCCCTGACCTCTCACCCCTCCCCTCTCCTGGTAGACTGGAGAAGAGGACAGCAAGAAGTGACCTTCACCGAGGGTCTTGCCTCTGGCAAGCTGCAAGTTCTCCCGGCCTCTTTTGGACCCAACCAAGACCCCAGCATCCCTATCCCCACTGCTTGGGGTGGGGTGGGGTGTCGGGTGGTCAGGACAAGTCCTGAAGTCTGGAATGTTCCTCTGGGCTTTGCAGGGCCGGTGCCCAATAGAGTTTCAAAATCCCAGGTCATTCTATGTCCTCACTTGCTATGCCAGAAGAAGCGACTTATATGTGTGTGTGTGTGTGTGTGTGTGTGTGTGTGTGTG